GCTGGAGAATGAGCCAGAGGACTAAACCAGAATTTAGTTTCAAACCAAAACAATTAACTAGTTTCATAAATCTTACCTGGACAATTTGCAGTTTTTTTTTTCATCGTCTAATTCAGCTTTCACGGTTCTCTCCTCGTCGTATTTCTCAGCACACCGATTGTGCTGCTACCGCAGTCTCCGCAGTGTTGAGGCATGCATTTAATGCAACATTAGTTGAAGGTGAGCCTCAAGCTCCAGGTGTTATAAATATTGTTTGATTCCCACCCACTTCTAAGCTGCCCTGTCTGTGCCCTTTTAAAGACCCAGGCAGTATTGCATGAATTCAGCTTAAGCAGTATTTAATCAGAGCATGATACTTTTAGAGCACAAGCTGGCACACATTTTTCTGACTTTACTCTCTGTATGTGGACATCTTCTGAAACTTAGACAGATCATTCTTTAGGATGAAAGGAGCCAATCCTAGTATTTTCCTTGTGTGGACCACCCAAAAGGTCCACACAAGAAGAAATGTCCACACAAGAAAGATGTTCCGTCAGGGGTTGGTTCGTACAAGTATATAAAGACAAACCCACAAACACACACAAAGAATCTTTCATTCCACCAATACAGCGTTACCACTTCTGACAAGCTCTCTGGCACCAGTCATTTGTCCACAGGTGACAAGTAAAGTTAGAGCATCAGGTTGGTACGGTACAACAGCACACTGGCCCAAACCAGTTTCAACCTTAGTCTTCTTTTTCTGTGTGTTTAACTTTTTTTTTCTCTTTGTAAAGTACTAAACATTTTATGTCTAAATGAAACCAACCAATTGCTGACCTCCTCTTTCTGCCTTATAGAGCACAGTGGTAGTGGAGAAGTCCATCCAGGATCTGATGAGCCTGATGCAGGACCTGAGTACCCACTTCAATCAGTTCCTCGAAATGGTCTGTGATAAGCTCAAAGAGTACAAGGAAATCTGCAACAGAGCCTACAGGTAAAAGAAGGGCGAGACTAGCTCACCTGCTATTGTCTGTTGTGAGTAGGTTTTATAATTACTTAAAACCTGCTAAACCTAAAATAAAACAACATTAGGAAACATATCATTTAAGAACTGTCTTTGCATTTTAGAAATGTAACTGTTCTCATGCAGAGAGTGAGCAGGGTTTTAATAAATCTAGGTTAGGCTGCAGACTGTATAAGTGCTATGTTTTTATATAAGCTTTCTTTAGTGAAACCCTGGTTAGTCATCAAAAAAAAAGCTGACATTTTTACAACTGCCTAAAGAAGAAAATGGGAAAATGGTGGTGTGCATTTTTTATGAAGGTCTCACAGCGCCGAAGATTTACTTTTTCAAGTATGGAATGGGGTTTTGATGTTACTATTATTTAGTTGTTTTGTTTTTTTTTTGTATTTCTTTGTACATACCCAAAATTACACACACATTGATGTTGTGAAAGGCCATCCGTCTGGGCTCTCCTGTGACCATATAACACCTGGCCAGGTAAAGGCTAGAGAATGCGGAGGTATAACGGAGGGAGGTATGAACAGGCCATGAGACACAGGAAAGGACTGACAGACTGCTGCGAGTCCATCTGGACTCTGTCACAGGTCAGCCTCAGTCTCAGTGGGCTCTCTGAGTTATAAAGACAAACCCAACAGAGGCTGCCAAAGTGTAGGTGTATGGTTGTGGTAATGTTTCTGGGTGCATTATATACTGTACGTTCGTGCTGCTGTGTGCATTCATGCATGAATAAGTCTTTGTCTCTTTCAGCCCCTAACCTCCCCTCCCGTCATCCTTCGTATGTGTTTGTGGATATGAAACTGTGGAAGGTGTGTGTCTCCTGTGCAAAGTATTAGTGTGATATTAGTGGCAGAACCAAGCAGTTTCTCCAAAAACCAAGAGACATGCGGACGAATCAAATACCTCAATGTTTCTTTCCACCAAGTCAGAACTGCTGTATTTCTGTTTTATATGCGATTACAGATCCTCATTAACCACATCTACAAATATTTGTCTGTCTGACTGAATGCTAGTGTAAGCAGTTCCCTCATTGTAGCTACATTTGCTGCATGGCCTAGGGTAGTCTACTGGGCAAATTTTTGAGTAATATATCTTAACAACCTATGGATAGATTGACATGAAATTTGGTACCGTAGAGCACCCGGGGGCGGGGGGGTGACAGTAACATTCTCTCTGCCCCATAAATAAATTATGAACAAATTCACGTGGAAAAATAAATAAATGACAAGAACCAGCAATTCCACATTTCTTTCTCTATTATCTAAATATACCTACACAACATTTTTATTTTTTTAAATATTAAACACTCCATGAATGTTATTTTTCAACAGCTGAAATAAAGTTGCCAGTAGGATGTCGGAAATGGCAACAGGGTTTTCAGTGCTGTGGTGGCGATCTCAGGGTATTCTGTCATGACTTTAATCCAGAACACCGGCAGAGTTGTTGTCTCGAACATACTTTTAAGGCCGCCGTCATTTGCGATCTCCAGCAGTTGATCTTCTTCTTGCACAGACCTGCTGGATTCACCTGGTTTGTTGACAAATGGGTTGCGGATCCCTTCCTTGGCAGTTCGTGGGTCCTTTGTGGTTGGGAAGTAGCGCTCGAACTCTTTTAAAAGCAAAGACAGGTGATCGTGCACCAGCTGGGAGAATGAAGGCTCAGGCTCAGTCTCACCCAAAATCCCCGCTAATGTTTGAAACATGTCCAAAATGCCTCTGTTGACGCGCCGTCCCCACAAATCCAGTTTGGCTTTAAATGCAGCTATTTTATCTGCCAACTTGAAGACAGTTGTCATTTTCCCCTGAAGTGACAGATTGAGTTCATTGAGCAGGCTGAATATGTCCACAAGTAAGCCAGTTTTGGCGCTCAAGTAACCGAGAGAATACGGTACCGGTACCGGTCCGCGGCCCGGGGGTTGGGGACCACTGCTGTAGAGGGATTAATGTAAATAACTTTGATTATTCCCTATTTTTTCCTGTAGTACCACCAACAGGTAGATTTACCAATTCTCTAATATTAAAGATATCATTTATTTTCCCAAATTATTTGTTAATAACTAACATATGGCATAAATCTACTGTATGTTAGCATCATGTCTGTGCAGATTCTCAGTCATCCAGGTCATAGTAAACTGAAAAAACAGGTAGTATTTAAACAGAATTCCAGCCGAGTGAATACATGGTCTGGGGTGAGGCTAGTCCTGTTGTTTAGTGTGTCATCCTTCAGCCGACAATAGGCGTCGGTTGACCGGGGAGGAGTCAAAGACCGGAGGATTCAAAGACAGGTAACGACTCTCACTGATACTGGGCTGCAGCGACTCAGTCGTTAAGGGACATTGTTGGCCTTCAAAGGACTGAAACACCACCGAGGGGGATAAATATCTCTGGCTCAACACCAGTCAGTCAGAACTGATGAAGCCTCTTGGATGAGAGGTGAAACGTCTTCGATCTAGAAATCTAAGTCACACTGAAACACTGAAAGTTTTTTTCAGTGTATGTTAGCATGCTGTAATAGTAAATTTTGAATTTGTTTCATGTTATTGTCTTATTATTTTTGTCTGCTGAGACCACAACAAACAAATATACAGTATGTGATATTTCATAACTTGGCGAGTTTGTGTGCATTTCTTTGCAGTATCTGTCTGTGTCCTCAGGGGTATAGTCCAGTGTGAGGAGAAGCTGACCATCAGTGCGTCATGGTCTAAAGATGAGGACATCAGTCGTTTGCTCCAGTCCCTCCCTAACTGGGCAAATATGGCACAACCCAGGCAAACTCGGCAAAAGAGAGAGGACGAAGAGGACTTTACCCGGTACATACACAGATCCACCTAGAACACAAGAAATGCATGTATGCCCATGTGTGTGCACATTTACACTTCTTTCATAAAGTGCCTATATGTGCTCTTATAGTCTTTTTTATTTTCCTATGGAATAGTTTAAAGCGTCTGCTTCATCTGCTTGGTTGTTTATATTTTTGTGTATGTTTTGAATGTGTATGCTTTATATACATGTTTTTGTTTCGTTTTTACAAATTATGTGAAACACATTGATTCTCCCCTGAAATGGCATGTGTGGCATGGCATAGAGTAAATGAATTTTGTTTTGCTTTGCTATATTCAAACAAGTGGGGTAACAAGTACACATACTCATGCACCACTCTCCACGCAAAGAACTAGAAGTAGACCTACACAACCACACTTGAGCAATCACGCAAATAATCCTCCCTCTCTTCTTTGCTCCCTTATTCAGATATTATTGGATCTTCTTTTGTTGACTAAGATGCAGGCATAAAAGAAGTCATGATTGCTCTTTTAAACACTCCCTATCTGAAGGAAGTGAGGAAACGAGGAAAGAGCAAAATGGGAAAATATAAGGAGAGCAGACGGAGGCAGGGAAGGGGAAGTGGGGGGGTCACTCTTATCGAAATTGCCTTTGAATGTGTGCACTCTTCAGGGAACACTGAAACTCACTGGAGCGGAATAGTAAAGTAAATAAATAAATTGGTTATGTGACCAAAGAAAGTCAATCTGTTGTGTGCACCCTCTCCCACTTCCCTTTCTCAGACACATGCAGACACACACACACTGTGAGAGCACAGAGATAGCAAGAGGAGGACCATAAGGCTGTTTGATTTGAGGAGCAGTGGATATTTTGATCCCTCTGAAAGGAAGATTTGCTTCTGCACGACTGGCAACCCAGTGTTTTAATAAAGCTTCATTAATAAGCTACACATTGTGTGTGTGAGACAGTATATGTTTGTGTGTCTGGTGTTTTTTGACCCATCTGCTGTTTAGAGGCTCTTGATCTTCTGGGCATCCTGGAGGCCAGTCCACATGCCATGTATATGCAGCACTGTAGCGCAGAGATTTGACAGTTATCCAAACTTCCATGCTTTCTCTCATTTTTCATGCCAGACTCAAAAGTCAGTTATCTTTTCAAAAGAGGTTTTGATCTCAGTGTCTTTGTTTTTCCACCCTGTGTCCTCTATTTGTTTTCTATTCTTAAACATTCTAAATCACCTGTTGTTATCCTTTCTTGTTGACTGTTGGGCTACTAGCAGCTGCCTCCTTCCTAAGTCTTACTGCTCTCCACCCAACCGTCTGTTGATCTGCCTGTACTGTATATATCTATCCTACTTACTGACTCTGTATTCCTCTTACTGCTCTTGTTTCTGTTAGTTCAAACATTTGCACTATAAAGATGAAGGCCCTACTTAATTTCTGCATTATTAATACACTGTCCTACTGCTTTTAATAGTAATCAGTTCAGTTAAAAGGTGTTTGCTATATTGTGCCCATCCTTCTAACTAGACAAACTCACTCCCTTGCCTCGTTTTTGGCTGTTATCCAGGGTGGCCTTTGCTAAGGAGTCAGAGGTGCTGACTGGGAACCTAGGAGACAAGTTAATCCCCCAGAATGAGATCCTCCGTGATGTCAGTGACCTAAAGGCTCTAGCCAACCTTCATGAGAGCATGGAGTGGCTTGCTGGTCGCCTCAAGAAATTCTACTCCAACCTGTCTCAGGCCTATGGTAAGTAAGGGATTTGAAAGAAGACTTGTTTGGTTCTTTGGGGATGTCATTGTGATAAAGTTGGGACTTTCAGTCAATTTCATTGCCAACTTATCTTCAATGTTGCCACTGACCTCTTTGTCATAATGGCATTGTCACACTGTTGTCAGGTTTTAGGGTACCAAACTCATAATATAATGAAGAAGATCACCTCATCTTCCTCTCTCCTGGTTGTATTTGCCAAAAACAGACATGCTGTCATGGTCTCAGGCTTCATGATGAAAGGATTAAGCCAGTCATTTTCTATATTAACATTATTTTCAACACTCCCCTACAGACACTAAAACCGACAATGAATTGCCTCTACTCATGGTCAATGTCCATCAGTGTGTCAGTCCTGGATTAGCTTGTTCGTCTGTGCCATAGACTTCTGTTGTTGTTGTTCAAAAATGATTCAAAACACATCAGTTATACACACTGCTGTACTGGGTGACATATTTCTTTCTTAGCAAACCCCAGACTTGAGCACGAGGAGCTAGTAGAATGTAAACAAAGCCGAGAGCCTGTGCAAGATCTTGTGCATGCGCAGTTGATTCTTACTCTAATCCAGGACTGGTAGCTGACAGACATTAACCGCGTGTCAAGCCAAATAATTGTCGATTATAGTCACTGGATAGAGATTACTGAAAATACAGTTACTATAGAAAATGAGCAGCCTTATCCTTGATCTTGTTTCTGTTTCTTATGTACAGTATGCATAAAGGCAAAAGCTAAAACTTCACTACAGAATTCAAACAAAGTGACTGACACCTGGTATGTTGATATTTGCCAAGAAATTAAATCTTCTATTTTTACACCAAACCTTGTTCCTACTAACTGGATACTGTGAAAGCTGTTATTCTGTTAATGGAATTAATTTAAACAAAATATTGTAATATTTTTGATGCAAATGCTGAGGGATGCAGTACATTTTTGTGTCTACAGCCAGGAGGCTGCAGACGTCGGATGCTCTTTACTGAGTAACTTAAATGTTGTCTTTCACACACGAATTCTGTTTGTCAGATAGTGCACTCTACTATAATGGATACTTTTCCAGGATGCATTGCTACCAGTCTCTCAGGTCATTAAGCAGTTACTGATCAGAGTACACTAGGATCACACTTAGGGGTATATGAGTATATAAGTTTACTCAACTTTATCTGCAGTGCATTTGTAGCAACACTTCTTACCTGTGCCTCATTAAGTTCTTGTTTGAGTGTATTATCACATACTCATTACCTTCTCAACTGGAGTTGTCAAAGAGCACTTTGCACACAGACTCATTATGCTTGGATCTGCCTCTGCAAGTAAGGTATGTGCGCATAAATGCCTTCCCTAATCAAGACTCTGATAAGCATTTCATGCATTGCCTGCTTAGTCATTACTTTTGTACCATTAATCACTGATCAAAATTATGTGTGTGTTTGTGCTTCCATTCAACACATCATCACTTATCAGTACAGTAATGTTTATGTCCTCATTACATTGAGAACATGTTTGATCTTATAAGGAGCCTAGTATCTTTTAATAGTCTTCAAGTCTTTCTATTTTTAATAACATCCTGTATCAGTCAGGGACTTAATACTTTGAGTCGGATTTGATTTTTGCATTGTACCTTGTAGTCACTCTTATTTTGTATTCTCTTGTCTCATCCAAAACTACATTATAAATGAGCTGTATAAAGGCTTTTCCAGAATCTTTCAACATCAACAGATGTCAGAATAAATTTTTTTCATTGTTATGCAAAAGTTATATTTATTATATAGGTTGTTCACATTGTTTCAAAATAAGCTCATTCAGTGTTTAACATATTTTAAAATGTCATCAGGCTGAATTTCTGAAGTTAGATTGTTAATATATTATCAGTTTTGACATGATGTTAATTTTAAGCTAAAAATCAATATATATATTTTGCTTCATTTTATATATATACACCAATCAGCCATAACATTATGATTGTCTGCCTAACACTATGTACACAGGAGTTGGTTGGCACTCGTGTCAGTCTGCAGCTCACTGGGCATCTTGTGTGAATCCGTTTGCTGCCATGATTCTACTGTCAGGAAGTGCACAAACTTGTCTACCATTCTGTGAAAAACGTATGTTACAGGAGTGAAAACTGTGATCGTGAGGACAAGTTAGAGACATTTTTTCAGGCAAATTCAACAGCCTCCCCACTCCAGGGGTCATATCACCACTATAGCTGCTGATGTACAGTATTTCTCATTTTCACCCATTTTAACAAAGATTCAAACTAAATAGAAGGAAGAATGACATTTAAAATTTTTAATCTAAAGTAGATCAACCTCATCATCAGTGAGCCTTGGCCATTCATGGCCCTGTCACTGATTCACTGTATGTCCTTCCTTAGACACCATTGGTAGGTACTAACCTCTGCAGACCAAGAACACCCGCCAACACCTGCAGTGTGGGAGATGCTCTGACCCAGTCGTCAGCCATCACTGTTTGGCCCCTGTCAAAGGCACTCAGATCCTTATGTTTGCCTGTTTTTCCTGCTTCCAATGCATCAAATTCAACAAGTTGACTTGTTGCCTAATATACCCCACACACTGACAGGTGCCACTGTAACAAGATAATCAGCGTTATTCACTTCACCTGACAGTGGTCATAATGTTACGGCTGGTCAGTGTATATCACCCCTTTATACAGCATATTCAGTCACTTCTGTAGTTATTGTGTTACAGTACTATGGAGCTGTGTTCGCTGCAGTGATTTGGTCGTCTGGCAGAGCACTGGTAAATTATGCGCCTTTCTTATAGGGATTGAGAAAGGGCTTCAACCTTCAGCCTATTAGCCACTATCACAACTCCCTAGCTTCAGACATCTGATTGCTCATTGAACTTGCGCTATTTCACTATTCCATATCACAACTTTTCTTTTAGACCTAAAATAATTAAATGACACATTTTTAGGGATTCTTATTTGGCCTTGACTTTGTCACTATCTCGTTTTAAACTCTTTCCTTCCCTCTCACTCGGACGCTAGCTTTCTCTCTCTATTCACAGATAAGAATTCAATAAAAGTACGGAAAAAGACATGACATAATTATCATTAATTCTGCCGGGTGGCACTAATGGGATGGATAGGGCAGTCACTTATCATGCTGGGACAGCCTCTGTATTGTTCATTATTTAGTGTTTGCCAAGTTGATGATGGACTCTGTGTGTTGCTTTGGGTGTTAGAGTGTCTGTGGGTGCATGCATGTGTGTACACAAGCATGCACTGTGTAAAATAGGACAAGGGTACAGCATGGAAAAAGGACCCCAACCTTATCTTATCCTCCACTCCACCCCCTCGCCTCACGTCTGTTCCTCTCCAAATTGGATTTTATATTACAGAAGCAGTCAGGTATGAACAACTCATTTTCCTCTCCCTCTTTTTGCTTTTTCTTTGATTGGTCTCTGTTTCATTTTTGTTGCATGCTCGCTTCATTCTTACTTGGTATTTTTTTTCATCCATTCCTTCTTCCTCATCTTGGTACTGTGAGCATTGTTCTTTTACTTGAAGTGGAAGGGGTCTGGGAGATTTTGTTCATGGCTGGCTGAATGCTGCAGTGGATGTTTGGTTTGATCACCTTCCTGTGTGATTGAAGTCTAGTGAATGTGTAGTTACACATATTCCTGTGCTCTGAACTATAGAGAACATGAAAAGAGCATTTACATTTGATCCCTTCAACTCCCTCTTGGTAGTGAATCTTAATTCAGTTTAGGTGTGTGCCCGTGCAGTTTTGCGCATCTGTGCGTGTCAGTTAAGAGGGTGTGAAGAGCAAGTGAGCCTGTATGAATGTATGTGTCGAGAACAAGGTCTGGTTGTGTGTGTATGCAGACAGATCAGTGAGTGGTGGGAATTGGCCTTGAAGTTGGCTGGAGAAAGGGTCTTATCACACATCTGCTCACAGCACTGGACTTCTAATCCACTCTGGCAGTATTTACCCAACAACACACACACAGAGATGCCTGAGGGGCATTGTCAGCAGTTTTCTTTTACAATACCTGACTGTGTGTCTGCAAAGGTGTGTGTTCATGTTGAAGGCCTGGCCATCATTAGGTGCGTAGATATGCTGCAGGGTTTTTAGACAATAATCATGTGGTCTCCCCATGGGAGTAAGCTCCTTCTCTCTTCAATGGTTCTATGTGTGAGGGTTTATGGAATACACTTTTCTAACCTTTGACTATGGTGAATGTGGGTCTTTCTCCCCTAAGCAGTAATTTTTTCTTGATTCCATTTAACAAGGCAAGTTGACTAAGGGCACATTCTTATTCACTCCAGGGGCCTGATGTTGATGTTGTTGTGTCAGTAGCCAAAGTATTGTCTGTTGTTCATCTATCCATTTATTTGTTTCTGGTGGGGGTTTTTCCACTCTCATCATAAGACCATTAAGCAATATGGGGTCATCAGATATCAAAATCTTCCCATCTTATTCCCATTTTTTGTCTCTATCTTTCCCCCTCACTTTCTCTTTTTCTCTCTAGACAGAAGTTAAGAGCCTCGTGTGCAGATGTTCATCCTGTACCAGAGGCAGCAAAATAATTAATAACTCCTCTACTCAATCAGTCTTTTATGAATCATTCATCACTCCACCCCTGCAGGATACTGTCCTTTACTTATCTTTCTCCATTTTTTCTTCCATTCCTCTTTTCTGCTGGTAGGGTATGTTATCTTTTTTTTTTTTAAACAAAATAGATAATGATTGTTATCATTTCTAATGTTCAGCATCTGTATTTGTCAAAGCCCTGCAAAATGTCAAATCATATTGTTTTCTTGTCTGTGCTATTTATGCCCTTAATGGCAAACAAGGCAGTGGATGTCATATTTGGTATGTGTTCATATGTATTATATATCCACATAAGTATGCATCTGAATGCTGTATCTGTGTACGTGTGTAAATTCCATCACTGATCTTTCTGTCACCCTCATCTTCTGCAGATGGCAAGCAATAGACGTTTCTCTGAGATGAGATT